TTGAAAATTCAATATAAACCCGCTACTTCGGATCAGCACAACTAGTCATAAGACTAAAGTGCTATCAGCAACATCAAATAAAGTAAAAAAATTAACGGTACAGAATAAAAAAAATTTTACAAGCTTTGGGTTATCATTAAAGCAGAATGCCTGAAAGTGATATTTTAGATAACGTCACAGTACGAAATGGATTCTAAAATTACGAAAATTGAATATCATTCATACACACCGTATACTACATCATTTAATAATAATGATGAAATACGTATATCAATCCAGCAAACTGATGTCTACCCATATCTACACGAAAGCTTTATTTTTTTGGGAGGAACAATTACTGATGCTACCAAAGTGAAACTATCTAATAACGGTTACTCTTTCCTCTTCGAACAAATACGATTGGAAATCAATGGGATAGAAGTAGATAGCACACGTGTTCTTGGAATCACTAGCTCGTTGAAAGGTTACTTAACCTGTACACCAGACAACTATAATTGTTATGAAAATTCTGGTTGGAATTTTAAAAACGCAACGCAATCGGAAATGAGAAGGTGAATTTAGTGCTTGCATTTCATTGAAAATATGGTTAGGTTTGTTTGAAGACTATAAAAGAATATTGGTGAATTCTAGATTAGAATTAATATTAACTCGAAGTCATAGCGATTTAAATGCTTTAAGTTGTAAAACTGGTGCAACTGCTACTGAAGGTAAAGTCGTTTTAAACAAAATAGTCTGGAAGGTCCCACATATCAATGTTGACGATGAAGAAAGGTTAAAATTATTGAAACTTATAGAAAAAGAAAAAAGTCTATTTATCCCTTTTAGATCTTTTGAAACTTTTGAATATCCTGAACTCGGAACCACTAAAAAAGTTGTATGGAATTTGAAAACTGCTTCAAAATTAGAAAAACCACGATTTATCATAATTGGATTACAAAAAGGACGCAAAAATGTGTTAACGAAAGATTGTAGTATATTTGACCATTGTAATTTAACAAACGTTAAAGTATTTCTGAACTGTATAGCTTATCCATACGATAATTTGAATTTAGATTTTACTAAAAATAATTTCACCTTATTATATAATATGTATACATCGTTTCAAGAATCGTACTATGAAAAAGTATTCGTAACCCGATATTGAGTCCTTCTACTTTTCTGACAAACGCTCCAATTATAGTTATCGATACTTCGAAACAGAACGATTCAGCCACAGCCTCAGCAGTGGATGTTCAATTGGAAATTGAAGCTTCAGAATCGCTCACAGGTGTGACTGCTTACTGTTTCTTAATTCATGATCGTATTGTAGAATATGTACCTTTTACTAGAGAAGTAAGAAAACTTGTATAAATAATTGTTTAGAATTAATATATAATTGTATTTGTACATAAAATAATATTTATTTTATCAAATTGTTGGTTACACAGTGAAGCATGTAGAAATGCCCCCCTTGACATGATGAATCTCCCTGTAAAAAAGGTGCTCAGAACACACAAATATATACTACTAACGAACGTATTCCAACAATTTCTTGTCACGTGAAGAGATAAATCATTCGTTAATGGTAATTGTACAATCTTCTCAACAACGTTGGTTTCCTGAACTGATTTTGGATCTGTCACGTGGCCGTGGTGCAGCTCGCCCATTATCTAGTCTACGGCCATTTCTGAATTCGCAAATATTGTGTGTGTGGGTGCCGATTACTGAAGTCCGATTTAGCTGATGCGGAAAAACATCCGATGCTGCTGTCCAAGGAGTCACACCTTTCTGGCCACTGGCACTTAGTTACGTGCCACTCAGGTCCCCGAGTCATCACGTCTTTAATCATACGGCAATTTTGGATCTTATCGATGAGATCGGTAATTCGCAAGTTGATCGGTCAATGTACTCCATGTGTCAGAGCTATTGCCCAATCGCCACATCCGTGATGGGTAATCTTCCCAGTTCACGAGTTCAAGCATATAGACCCTTTCAAAAGTTGAGTAGATTATGCTGGCCCACTGCCAATGCGTGAGGAGTACGTTGCGAAAATCCCAACAGTATAAAATTTACGTTTCTGTTTTTGTCTCTATGGTCACCAAGGCTGTGCATTTGGAATTGTAACAGAGGCTATCTACAGCAGCCCTTTTAGCCGGCTTCGATCGTTTTGTTGCCAGACGTGGTCTTCCAACAGACGTGTACTCCGACTGTGGAACCAACTTCAAAGGTGCGTCAAAATATCTGTTTGAGGTCATCAACGATCCAGCTAATCACTATCTACTGTCATCTCATTCTTTCTGCACGTGGCACTTCAATCCACCCGCAGCACCTCATTTTGGCGGCCTATGGGAAGCGGCTGTGCGTTCTTTTAAAACGCTCCTTGTACGAACCGTCGGTGATCATAACCTTACCATGGAGGAGATGTCAACCTTACTGTGTCGGATCGAAGCTGTGTTAAACTCCAGACCTCTGACTCCAATGCATGCTTCTCCCTTAGATTTGGAACTATTATCATCTGGTCATTTTCTTATCGGGCAACCACTTCTGGCGGTTCCTGATTTGAACATTCCCGAAGGACGTTCCAATTGTGCTGACACGATGGAAGCTGCTACATCAATGTCACCAATCATTCTGGCGTCTCTTCAAGTCCGGGGGAAGTGGACAACGGATGTAACCAACAGTCAGGTTGGACAAATGGTCGTGATCAAGGATAACCAAAGTCCTCACATCCTAGCGATTTTGTCGCATTCTGTTCTCCTCTTTGTAAAAAAAAAAAAATGTCCACTTTGTCTGTTGAACTGTAAACGTCTGTGCGCCTGATTTTGACATTTCACCGGTGTCTATGTTATGTCACGATTCAACAAAATCAGCAAATCCCAAGAGATACGTCATCATCATCAAAGAGATCTTCACAATGTGAGGCTGGATCATCGCACCCTCACATCGGGGAGAATGTTGGAGATTACGATTATCGACGCGCCGCCGTTTTGACCGGTTTCACGTATCTGTGCACAGAGTCGTGATCACCCGTGGACTTTGGTCCAGATGGCCCGGTCAACGATGTTTATCTCTGTGGTTTTCGTGTCGCCAGCTTTGTGTGGCGTACATCGTCCTGTTACCGCATTCAGTTATAATCCGGACCAGCACGACTGCTGTACGGGTCTGTCGTCTCTGAAAGTTAGTACTAACTTATTGTCGACTATCGTTCGCCACTTAACTGCCTGTTGCCTACGTTTACGGCCGTGTATTGATGCTCTAGTATTAAACGTCGCTTCACCATCGCTTCGGTAAATGTAAACGACATTAAATTGTATTGCGTGTTATCACGTAGCGCCGCCGGTAGTAGGCATCGTACGTAGTTGTCGCTGTTGGTGTTACACAACGTCGGTCATTGAGTATGACAATTTTGTAGCTGCCGTCACCATTGCCGAGACTGTTGGTACCACTCCGTCGGGCACTGTACGCTGATATCTCACCTCCGCCGTCATAATAATCAGTCCGCACGGTCGTATCATTTGTTATTATTATTGTATTTTCTCTATCATTATTTAATCATATTATAACTATAAGATTTACCATCATTCTGTATACGCGCTTAGGAATTGTATATATGTGGGATTATATTATCTGTTATCTATTGTATTGTATTAAGTTATTGCGTCTCCCGATCAGTGTCGAGTGAACCGTGATTGTGAGTAGGTTAAGACGTTTCAGTAATATAATTCTTTTAAAACCAAACATTGTTGTGTTAACCGTTTATGTTACAAACCTTCAACCACAACTTGAAGTTAATACAACATTGTATTAACTTCCACATTTGGGGGCCTGTCCGGTTGTTGGCTCGTATTAACACGCGTTAACAATTAATAAGTCGTGAACTTGTAAAACTAGTTACTAACCTCAAAATTAATTCGTATTTACCAAGTCGCGTGGTCGTGTTGTGGTGCGTGAAGTAAATCGTGAATCGCGATTCATATCTCGTGTTTTTGAACTTGCCAGTTAACTTCCTTACAAAATGGCACCCAGGACGCCGAAGACACGCAAAGCTAAGGCAAATGCAAGAACTAACGAAACTACTGTTGCCATCGAAGAAAAGGATACTGTTAATCAGGTTAGAGAATCGATTAAATTTCATGATGTGCGAGAATCTCTTAATGTATTTACCGGTGATGATACTTATTCAATCATTAAATGGATAGAAGATTTGGAAGAGATGAGCGAAGTATGTGGATGGTCTGATGTTGAACTTTTTATATATAGTAAACGTCTATTGTCGGGGACTGCTGCCCTATATCTACGTTCTGAAACTGGTATTAAGTCATGGAATTTAATGAGGGAATGTTTGATGAATGAGTTTCGTAATAATTTAACTTCGGCTGACGTGCATAGGCAGCTTACAGCCAGAATAAAAAATAATGACGAATCTCATCAGCAGTATTTGTTTAAAATGATGGAAATAGCAAAACAAGGAGATGTGTCTGAAGATTCACTATTGGATTATGTCATTGCTGGCATTCAGGATAGTGAAGTGAATAAGGCTTTACTTTATGGAGCTACAACATAAGCGAATTTAAATAAAACTACAATTGTATATTAAGATGAGTCAAGGATGCACATCTCTGAGTCAGAATATCTAGGTTTTTAATGGTGCTGCAAGTAATCATAATGCAGGTAATATAAAACAAAACTCGATGTCTGGTGTTGCGAACACAATAATTAGATGTTATAATTGCGGATCTAAGACACATCAACATAGGGAATGTCCAGACTTGGATAAAGGTCCTAAGTGTTTTGCTTGTAGATCTTTTGGCCACAATCAACAGAATGCCCTGATAGGAAACTCAACAAAGCAAGTGAATAATGATGAAAAACCACAAGTTTATCAAGTGAATGCTATAAATACTAATGAGCGAATATTTAAAGAAATTAATGTCTTAGGAATCCAGACGTTAGCCCTTATAGACACTGGCTGCGATTTGAATTTATGCCGACAGTCATTAATTAAAGGTATTGACGCTGTCAATGCAGAAGTTAGTCTTAGTGGACCAGCTGGAACTATGTTTTGTACTAAGAAAAAATTCATCACTGAATTAGAAGTTGATAATGCTACTTATACAGTAGAAGTATACTCGGTACCTGATGAAGATATAATGTGTGACTTTATAATAGGTAGATCATTATCCAACCAATGCTGAACTAAAAATTAGTCCTGGAGTGATTGAAATCAACAAAATAACTATCGAAACAAGTGAGTTTGATGTAGGATCTAGAGAACACTATCCGGTTATAAAGAGTATGATAGCTAACTATGTACCATGTGCTACAGAAACTACACCCATAAAAACCAAAATTATAGTCAGTGATGAAGAACCCATCTATCAGCGATCAAGGCGTTTATCACCAAAAGAAAAAGCAATTGTGGAAAGTCAAGTGGAGGAATGGATTAAGGAAGGAATTATCAGACCTAGCTGCTCAGATTATGCTAGCCCAATTGTAATTGTCCCTAAGAAAGATGGTTCATTTCGGGTATGTGTTGACTATCGTCGATTAAATAATAAAATCATTAAGGATAGTTACCCTTTACCTTTGATAGAAGACCAGCTGGATAAGCTTCAAGGGGCCAGAATATTTTCAACATTAGACCTTAAGAACGGTTTTTTTCATGTGGCTATGGACGAAGAGAGTATTAAATATACATCTTTTATTACACCAGAGGCACAATATGAATTTATGAAAACACCATTTGGATTGTGTATTGCTCCACCTATATTTCAGCGCTTTATAAACCATGTATTCAAGGATATAATGCGGATGGGATATTTGTTAATATACATGGATGACTTAGTAATTATTTCAAGCACAGTTGAGGAGAATATTGAAAGACTGAAGATAGTATTAGAAACCCTCGGCTAACCATGGTCTGAAAATTAATTGGAAAAAATGTCAATTTCTCAAAAAAGAAATTGATTACCTGGGATATAGAATCAAACACAATAAACTGAGTCCATCACCATTAAAGCTGGCTGCTGTGGTAAAATATCCAAGACTACAGAATGCAAAACATATACAGAGCTTTTTAGGACTGACTGGATATTTTCGAAAATTCATTAAGGACTACGCCTTGATTGCTCGTCCATTGAGCGAAATACTCAAAAAGAGTATACCATTCGTAATTGGACCTCAACAAGAAAGTGCGTTTAATATGTTAAAGAAAAAATTAACAGAGGCACCCGTATTGGGAATCTTTAATCCAGAAGCAGTTACGGAGGTGCACACTGATGCCAGCATGTATGGGTTTGGTGCCATACTTTTACAGAAAGATTCCGATAATCTGTTGCACCCTATATACTTTATGAGCAAAAAAACTACGCAAGCACAGCAAAGATACCATAGTTATGAATTAGAAGTTTTAGCAATTGTTGAGGCTGTGAAGAAGTTTAGATCCTATTTATTAGGACTGCAGTTCAAAATAGTAACCGCATGCGCTGCATTTACTAAAACACTAGAAAAAAGGGAACTTGCTACACGTGTAGCCCGCTGGGCATTGCTGTTGAGTGAATTTAATTACACTATTGAGCATCGAGCCGGGTCCAATATGGCTCATGTAGATGCGTTGAGCCGTTATCCGATATGCATGAATATCAATAGCGAATTTATAGCACAATTGCAGAAAGCACAACAGAATGATATTGAGGTGAAAACCTTAACTTCAGAAGCAAGGATGAATGGATGTGGTTCATATATTGTAGAAAATGATTTGCTTTATGAAACACGAGATGACAGAAAATTACTGGTTATTCCAAAAGGTATGCAAAAAGAGTTAATTCGAAATGCACATAATGTTGGCCATTTTGGTGTTAAAAAAGTTGTTGAACTGTTAGATAGAGAATATTCCATTTCTAATGTTCGTGAAAAGGTGGAACGTTTCATTCAAAATTGTGTACCTTGTATTTTGATCAACCGAAACAAGGGAACAGGAAGGATTCCTTAACACAATTGACAAAGGTGATCTGCCATTACATACTTGGCACATTGATTTTCTAGGACCATTGACAAATACTCCTCGAGGATACAAGCATATTCTGGTTATTATTGATGCATTTACAAAATTCTGTTGGCTCTTTCCAACAAGAAGTACTACATCGAAAGAAGTTGTGGACAAAATGAATATATTACAAGCTACATTTGGTAATCCAACACGATTGATATCTGACCGTGGTGCTGCATTCACATCTGGAGAGTTCAAAAAATACTGTAGTGATTCACACACATATCATGTGCAGATTACCACAGGAATGCCAAGAGGAAATGGACAAGTCGAGAGATTGAATGATACAATAGCGACAGTAGTGGCAAAATTGACTATTGATGATCCAGGGCAATGGTTTAAGTATGTCCCAAGAGTGCAGATGGCGTTAAATAGTTCATGGCAGCGATCAATTAATATGACTCCATTTAAATTAACGTTTGGAACTGAAATGAAACATCCAGATCTACTCCCATTATGCAGTTTAATAAAAGAAGAATATGCAAAAAGTTTTTTGGAAAAAAGAGAAGCAGAGCGTCAAGAGGCTAAACAATGCATACTAAAAGCTCAGCAAGAACAAAAGAAAACATTTGATCATAGAAGAGTAGCAGCAACAGATTACAGGATTGGTGACCTAGTTGCTATTAAAAGAACACAATTTCTTCCTCTATCCAAGATAAAGAGCAAGTACCTTGGACCATATCGTATCACTGGTAGATGTGGTCCGAACCGATATGCAGTGTGGAAGGTGGGCTCAGGTGAAGGACCTGAAAAAACTAGCACGGGAACGGATTATATGAAAAAATGGAAAAACTGCCTAACTTCAGATGAAGATGATGAAGATTCAGTGTCCGAGGCGGACTCTGCTTAAGGTGGGGGTGTATGTGGGATTATATTATCTGTTATCTATTGTATTGTATTAAGTTATTGCGTCTCCCGGTCAGTGTCGAGTGAACCGTGATTGTGAGTAGGTTAAGACGTTTCAGTAATATAATTCTTTTAAAACCAAACATTGTTGTGTTAACCGTTTATGTTACAAACCTTCAACCACAACTTGAAGTTAATACAACATTGTATTAACTTCCACATATATATATATATTATTATATAATTGTATATATAATTTATATATAATTTGTTCCATATGTTTTATTATTTGTAATAAATTCCAAAATACGTGTGTATATAAATTTACAAGCTTTTCATTTTCAATATTCTGTATCAGTTTTATTAACCAACGCAAGTCGTCAGATTGACCGCCTCAAGGTAGGAGTTTGATGGCGCAACACATAGAAAAAAAAAAAACCAAAAAAATTGAAAAATGAAAATATCCGTAAACAGCTCAAAAAGAGTCAAAATATTTTCAAAATTGTATGGTGTATAGGAAATGCTAATATAAACATTCAGTGAAATTTTCATGTATCTACAGTTATATGTTTTTGAATTACAACGAAATAAGGAAATCGCTACATGGGAAATCGAGTTAATATTCAATGTTGTAAAATTTGAATTTCAAATGCTCATAAAAATTTAATTTGACTTTCTTATAGACATTTTTTTTTGATAAAGGTAGATAATCTTATAAGGAATCTTGTGTTTAATTTTCAAATCTTAGATTTAAAAAGAAAATTTTTACGAATTCTTAACTCAAAATAATTTGCTAATTTTCGTGATTTTTCCATATTTTGTCAATTTTTGAACTTTAAATGCTTATAAAAAAAATTGTGACTAAGGATTTTAATATTTTTCATCTGCCTTTGAAACAATATATTAGGAGCCTTCTATTAAATTTTCAAGCTTTCGCAACCAACAAATAAAATTTTATTGATATTTCTAGAAAAAAAACTAATAAAAAATGGAAAATGGAAATGTTCCTAAACAGTTCAAAATAAATCAAAATATTTTGAAAATGTTATCGCGTATAGAAAATGCAAATATAAACAACCAGTGAAAATTTCATGTATCTACGGTAATTTGTTTTAAAGTTACACCAAAAACCAAATTCAATTTTCTGAAAAATCGATTTTGGGTAAAAATTCCCGTTTTTCCTTAATTTTTCTTTTGTTTTTCTTGGCGCTTTTGAAAATTACTGGGAATTTTAAATTTTGACCTCCCCAATGCACCAACGATATTCACTTTCCAATCGAACAAGATACTGAAGTCGAAAATCAAAGCATTATTTCGACTACTTATTGTGTACACAGACACAAAAAAAAATAAAAATAAATAAACACACATCATTGTAAAATCAATACATTCATCGTTTCACTCAAAATCTAAAAGGTTTACTACATACACAGATCAACAATTAAACGAATGTAAAGAAACTACAATGTACAGAATATGTAAAACACCACAACATATACAAGACAACAACGAACGCCAACCATGCGAAGTGTAAAACTTCATAAAAACTGACATATATTGTAATCCTGAGACATGTACGATAAGGAAAATTAATTTAAAGAGAAGCATATACCAAAAATTGCAAAATAGGAATACATGGATTCATGCAGGAAAAGAGACACTAACAATAA